ATGCTGACTCTGTAAACCGCTTAGAGGGGGCTGAAAGCCCTATGAAGCGGTATATAAGTCTAACTGCTATTGCTATTGCTATAGATATTGGAACATTGCTATCATGTCACCCATAGTCCTTCTTTTCATCAGACTAGACATACCCAGTTCCTGCAACTGTTCTTGCAATCTTGTTGCAATTGAGGCTTTAAATGGCAGTTTGCTAGGATTGATCCTTGGCTGAAGGTGTGTGGCCAATGACTGGAGGGCTGATAGAACTTAACAGATCATCTTTCAACCTTCCCTGCAGGCTTCCCTAATGACTTTGCTTTGCCAGCAGGGAAGGTCACAAATGGCAATCACATAACCACAGGATGCTGCAACCAATGTATATGTAAGCTGGTTGCCAAGCTCCCAAATCACACTTATATGGTGGTGGCAGCATTGTAATGAATGAAACTTCGAGAAACAGTTTATCACTCATTCAGCACCATTTTGAACAGCTGCTGAACAAGTAGTCATTAAATGAGGATTACTTGTACAGCCCAAATATATTAGCCCAAATATCATAACAATTGAGAGAGCAAGAAACCAATGTTTTATGTTAAACAGGAATGGAGAAGAAATGTTTGAATCAGCTAAAGATAGTAGTAATGAAAAATCATACCTGCATATTTGGCAGTGTTTGATTCATCCATAGACCAGAAACAGTAATCAAAGGCAAATACCTGTAGGTAAATATACTTGAGATCACTACTTACACTTATATGAGCCTCAAACCATGTTTTAAAATGTTAATTAAGCTTACATACTTAGGTCTTAGTTTCCCTTTATTTCAACTAATTTCTTATAAAAAGTAAGACACTAAAATCCAATCTAATATCCTTTATTCCTAGTGAAGATTTCATATTAGTCCTATATTCTTCTCTAAATAGCTATAGTGTATAGGGTGATAGTAATAAGGTTCTTCATACTTAGAGGTTAATATGAATACCGGTGTATGTGAAAGTTTAGGCATCCAGTTCCTAATCAAAACTATGTATTTCAATGAATTCATATGTGAACAGAATGTAAGATCTTCANATGTGTAATTGACTCTCAAATTAAAAAGAAATTATTTTTTGAATCTGCCACAGCAAATAGCAGGGTAAACAAATATTATCATTGTTGCTTTTATATACTATTAGAAAAACAATGAAAAATACAAACCATAAAGTGAAATTAAATAATATGTACCAAAGTTCCCTCAAATATATTATACATTTAGAATTAAAAAGGGTTAGAGGGTCACTCACCCTTTAGGGTCAAGTAGATCTCTGACCTTTTCATTATATATTTCCATATAAGACACCTCTACTTTAAAAGTGTGTGAATCATTTTGTTCTAAAGTGATTCTCTGAAATAAAGCACAGCAGAGCCGTGGGATCAGACCCAACTGCTCCGCATTTCCCATCATAGAGAAGGATTTTCCTGAGCCTAAAAGAGAAACGTAAAGATGCATTTTATATTTAAAAATTGAAAAGTTATCAATTGCTGTCTCTTTCAAAAATGCTAAGTCACAAATAATAAACAGTACAAATTGCACCATCTCAGAAAAAAATGTGTATTTGAGTTAAGGAGGTAGCATTCAACAAAGTATCATTTCCCAAGAATGCATGTTAGCTACAGAGGGAAGATTCATAAGCTCAGAAGGAAAAATGGCTGCTTTAAAGCGTTCCCAAAATATGCTACATGTATGTCCAAACGTTCTCACAATCACATTTTACCTTTTAGTTCCAGATCTCCATATAAACCTGCCAAACAGTTTTTCCTTACCACCCAACTGGGCAGATCAGAAACAATGCAAAACTATGCCCCCAAGACCTGATCGCTCACTCAGAAAATTACTATGCCTGATTGTATTGTAAGCTTCCAAGAGTTCTAGAGCAGCATCCCCAAACTTTGTGCACCAGGGACCGGTTGTGTGGAGAGAGGTTTTTCAGCAGACCAGAGGGAGTGCGGTTTCCCATGCTGCCTACATCCCATGGATGCTTGTTTGTGCAGCCTGGTTTCTGGCATGTTGCGTCCCGGTGCCAGTCCACAGACCGTGGGTTGGGGGCCCATTCTAGAGAACCACCAGGGTTAAAGCAAGATAACAATAGAAAAGCAGGTTGAGAAATCCAGAAAAAATACCTGGACCAAGGAGAGGACAGGGCCTTTGTGTTTATATATTTTTAAAAAGCCCTATTAAGGCAGAATGGTGGGGAGGGAGGATGAAATTATTGAACCTAAGCCAAGTCCTGCCCTTAAGGAGAGGTTCACACAGTGAAGAAGACACTGGTGAGTGGTTCTTCTTTCCCAGAAGATGGTGACAACCTCTGCAAAATATATCATTTCCATTTGGAATTTATAAATACAACTCTTACCTGTTTGTCCATATGCAAAAATGCAAGCATTATATCCCTGAAAGGCTTTCTCAAGAATTCCTTCTCCAAGGCACTTAAACACAACTTGTTGATCTACAAAAAAAGGGGGGGGAGGAAATAACTGAAATGAAATTATCTATATTGTGATGTACTTTGCTCCCTCTGTATCAATCAATCATTCATGGAGCTTCCACTGTTGCTTTTCACCTAAAGCAATTCTAACTGTTGGAACACATTGGTTCATATTTATGACAGTTGCAGAGTTCCAGGTAATGTGATCGCGCTTTGCAACCTTATGACAAGCAAAGTCAATAGGGCCAGATTCACTTAACAATTGTGTTACTAATTTAACAACTGCAGTGATTCATTAAACAACTGTAGCAAGCAAGGTCCTAAAATGGGTCTCATTTAGCAACATAAATTTTGGGTTCAATTGGGGTCGTATTTCGAGGACTAACGTGTCAAAAAAAGTCAAGAACTCTTTGTATTTCTATGCTGCCTATTTCAACTAAGTGACTTAGATTCTGCTGAGCCATAATTTAGTTTGTTTTTAATTTTTACTGATGTGTACATGTCAGAGAATCAACTATAGTCTCTTGCTGCTCTGCTGGCTGAAGTTGATATGTTCCCACTGCCTGGTGGAAAGAAAAGGATAGAACCCTCACTCTCCCTGCTTAATAAAGAGGCTAAAGATGGCAGAGGGAAATTTGGCAGAAAGCTTGGGCTAGCCTAGTGATATATGGAAGGAACAAATACAAATAATATAGTATACAATTTAGTGTGAATTGTAAATTGATACCAGTTCATTTAATAGTATCCAAAATTTAGTTAATGCAAAGCTAGCACATGAGTTACAGAATACAGAATAACAGAGTTGGAAGGGACCTTGGAGGTCTTGTAGTCCAACCCCCTGCCTAGGCAGGAAACCCTACATGACTTCAGACAAACGGTTAACCAACATCTTCTTAAAAACTTCCAGCGTTGGAGCATTAATTACTTCTTGAGGCAAATTGTTCCGCTGAATAATTGTTTTAACTGTCAGGAAATTTCTCCTTAGTTCTAAGTTGCTTCTCTCCTTGATTAGTTTCCACTCATTGTTTCTTGTCATACCCTCAGGTGTTTTGGAGAATAGCTTGACTCCCCCTTCTTTGTGGCGAGAGTCAAGATGGCGCAGTGGTTAAATGCAGCACTGCAGGCTACTTCAGCTGACTGCAGTTCTGCAGTTCAAATCTCACCGGCTCAGGGTTGACTCAGCCTT